TGAATTCTTGGCACTTAATACAGTTGGTGTAGTGTATTGTCCAGTGGGTTTTTTATCGGGCAACGTGAGCATAGCAATGAAAATGTTGGAAGAGCGTTTACCGCAGACAAATTCTGAGATAAACATATTTCCGCTGGCATTTCTGCCGACTGTGTGGGGTGGCCAGTTTCAGTTGGTGGACCCTCAGTTTCGTGTTGTGGTTATGTTTCCTGATGTGCCGGCAAACGTGACTAAGGTTTTGCGAAATCCGTCATGTCAGAATAAGGCCATTTCGTAGGGAACGATAACGACCGATGTATACTCTCAGGAATTTCAGTCGCAGTTGGTACAACAAGTAGAACAGGCTCTTCACATTTTGGTTGTCCAGTGGAGCCAGATCGATTACTAGCTATCGGGTCACATATACGCGTTGAGAATTTAGGGGAAGATCGAATGGACAAAACGTCCGAACGTCATCCTTATGATACGAGCGGGTTAGTTTTCTACTTTGTAAACCTTCAAGAGCTATTCCGAACAACCAAAGTCCTTTAAGCACCACAACAAGTTCGCGCTCCTGTGAGACATTCTTCAAGTTGTGGGCTCCCAGCTTACGTGCGTTATTGGGCTTGTGGCGTTCATGCACACATTTCTGGTTGTGCGCGGTAAACGGCAGTAGATTTGCCTTTGATCATTCAAAAACACGGCCCAGGTCTCATTGCAGCAGACCGACATGTTCCTACTTACAGGTCGCGTGCCATTTCTGGAGGTCATCCGCGGAAAGTCTGAAATAAGTCTTGAAAACACACAATATAGTCGATGAAGACAAAGAATTCTAGCTTGATTGCACCGGTTCTGGTCCCACTCCTGGCTTTGTATGTCCAACTACCATATGTAATTAGTAGTTCTGTAGTACTAACCATTGTTGACAGAAGCCATGTTGCTCTGGCACCATGATATCTTTCTAAACAACCCATTATTGCCACATATATGACCGATTTCATTACCGTTGAAAGCAATAAAAGGGAAATCCATTGGCGATAGCTGGCGAGTTCCGGACGCCTACCACTAAAACTTGTGATAATGTTACACTGCTGTTCATTCAAACATCTTTGGAAGAATCGAGTTAATGGCTCAACTATTCTCGCTGCTGCCACCAGCATTGCTCTAGTAAAATGTTGTCAACTCCAGGGGAACTATGGGGGCATAACGTTAACAGCTTCCTCAAAACAGTAGCTGGACCAGAAGTGAAGTGGGTCGATCCTGGCGTCCGGACGGTTGACATGAGTGGGGGAACACAACAGAGGATATTCACAAGGTTTTACAAGCTGCACTATATAGCTGTTCCAGTTGTCAGCACTAGAGTTTCCAAACGTCTTCCGGTTCTATGCAGAATGAATGACGGTGCTGTTGCAGATCGAAGAGGCTCGATCTCAGATGCCGATGTGATCAGATCACTGCACGTAGGAACAATCCGCGAACACGTCAAAAACCGGGAGACGCCATGTTTATCTCTTACAGAGAGCATTTTGAAACTTCGATTCTTCCATCTTTTCGCAAATGTGTAGTGCGTAGTGGGGTCGCATGTGAAGTATGCAAATCCTGGTAGGCAACTGTGGCAGGAACGCGTTTTGGCTGCACTGGAGAACCACATCAAAGGGTAACTGAAGACGTAAGGGGCCAATTGCATCTGCCAGGCCAAGTGCAAAGGTATTTCCCATGAAAGCGTAGTTGGGATCTTTTCCAGTTAAGCCCCGCCAAAAAGTTAAGCCCCGCCACCCAAAAAAGATTATGAAAAGGGAGGATATGGAACTTGAACTTTTACTCTCTATTGAAGAGGGTGAAATGGATACAAGTCATTAATAATTTGCATGAAAAGGTCCATTTTTCAGTATCTTTGCTTCCAAACGAACTCACACAGGTAGCTGTCCACTAAAGATCTCTGTGTGCTGCATTGGCGCTTATTCTGCATCTTGTAAATGTGCCAGAGAGATTCGATGGTTTGTGTGTGAGCTCCAGTCGTTGGATCCACAAAGTTTTCGGTATGATTAGTCGTTTGATGAGTATAACTCATGCCAATCATCGATCCAATGCCTTGGTATGATGCCCACATATCGGAAATGATTATTGAGCCGGGAGCGATGCAGGCCTGGATTGTGTCCAGCAGAGTGGCCGCAGTTCGATCTGGCACTGAGTACAAGAACACTTCTTTAGTCTCCCGGCAAATCCCTCCGAAAATCCACTGCTGGGGAAGGACTCGCCCTGCTTGGTTTTACGACGTGATATTAGGGTTTCATCGATCTCGACATGTAGACCTGGGCCGCCGACAATCGTTGGAGTCTGCAAAAGCTGCCAGACGCAAATTTCACGCAGAAAGTTCTTCCAGTCAACAGCGGTCGCGTGGCCAATAGATAACTCCTCTGAGCAGAATTTGATTGTCGTCAGATTTTTGGACCAGCAATAAATGAATAGGATTATTGTCCTGAAATCCATCCTAGACCGCTGCAGCCAAGTTCCCTTTCGAAGACCGATTTCTTGCCGACACTGTCGGGCACCACACCTCCACCTGTCAGAAACAGTTGAAAGTGTCATTTGGTGTCCTCGTCTGCATAAACGTTGTTGATGAATCACTCCATGGCTTTGCAAAAAACGTATTGCTGTTTCCTTGTCATGAACGACCGCCGAAAGCGTCAGAAAGTTCATGTAAGGTTTTACGTGCGAACGTGGAATCTTTTTGGACAAAAATGACCTTAGAAGCGGATAAGGAGTGTTTTTATGGGGCGCGTTCACATGCATTACGTACACTGGAGCTGACAAACAGTGGCGGGGCTCAAATTTTCACGCGTGCCCTTTCTGCACTATTGGTGGGGCTTGACTTTTCAGGTGTACCCTTTTTGCCTTAGTGGCGGGGCTTAACTTTTTGCGCGTGCTCTTTTTGCATCAGTGGCGGGACTTAACTGGAAAATATCCGCGTAGTTGGATGTATGGGGTGACCTTATCCCGGCCTATCAGATATTGAAAAACTTCAGTCATGTATGTCGCCCCATCATAAATATCAGCCTTGGCGCAAAACTAAGGGGCCACCGGCTGAATCTGGCTGCACAGTACAATTAGTTGGCCTTCCACCGGAATTTTCCCACCCGAATGTGTGGGCTGTGGAATACTAATCCGATGTAACATTTTTGCACCCGTTATCCATTTTTTAGAGTCCACTCGACGACGCATTACACTATTGGCATTACTTATCAGGAATTCCAATCAACGAGTGACGACGAAACGTAAAAGCACTGCGCTCGCCGGCCCCTGTCCCACGAAATCGGGGTAGGCGATTTAACATGTATGTTAAGGTGTATACAATGGTGTGTCCGCAACTGCACGGTACACTTCGGTGCCATTTTCGTTTTGAGCTTATGTATCTATCACAGGCCATCTTATGGGGCTTGTCACATCCAAGGTATGTCGCCCGATGTTTGCACTTCACCCAGAAGGTGGCCCACATCAAGCGTAATGTAGCCGTACGGCAGCTAGTCCATCGGGATTCGAAGCATGTGCTCAATGTCTCAGAGATTTTATGGTCACATGTTGTAGTCTGTCAGGGTATGCAGCCTGATCCCCGGCAAAGCTGTCTTACGATGCCTGATGAGTTGAGATGAGCTGATACATACCTTTAGCCACCCAGGGTGATGTATGTGATGTCAGGCAATCAGGTTAAGAGACTAACTGGGTCTAAGATGCGAATGAGGATTGCTTTCGTCGCTCCAACAGTAGTATTGCTCTGTGAACTATATGTTTTTCGGTGAACAAAATCTCGTTCTATCAATCTTGAAACGACGTTGTACACTTCGGCTTTGCAAATTGTTATCGGGATGGATACATTTCTCTGCGGCTGATTATGAACGAGGTGACACTGTTAAGCTCCTAGTAATTTGTTAGTACGGAAGTGGTGTGTCGCGGTTCTTGTTCAGATACACAAGTTATACTTTATGAATTCAACTGAACTGAAATCTAGGTGACAATAATGATATTTATAGACAGCTCTGACTGAATTACACTAGATTTTTCGATTTTGTGAATCAGATTTCAGGGGCAGAACTGAAGATTGATGGTGAGTAATGCACCGAATAGTCAGAAATATCACAGGTGGTTCTGCTGGTGTACATAATACCCATTTCCATGAAACTGGTGAATGGTGCTGGTGGGTAAATTAAAACCTTAGGCCAATTGCATTCACATCAATTTGCATAAAAAGGTTGACAGCATAAGACAGCAGTTTATGACTCGGGGATAAAGTAAAGTTTCAAGAAATGTTTAGCAACCCTACATTATTAATTTAGATTGAATTCCACAGTACTGTAACCTTCAACCTTCCGCATTAATACGATCATTTTGAGCTATTCGCTCAACCACCTTTTATTTTTTACTACTGCAAAGTCACCATTGTTTATTGGTTTTAGCAAAACGTCATTTTACTAATTTGCGGAAAGGTTATACTTAATTACACCATTTAACCGATCAGACTTTGATGGTAGGTTGACCAGAAAGAAAGGATTCAAAGTTAAGAGACGTGCGCTCTGCCCATGTGTAAACATTTGAAAACGGTACTTTTCACGGCCTCTAACATGAGGAACGATTACTTGAGCTCACATGGTCCACAGACGAAATGTTTCTTCCATTCAACTGTTGAATATTCTTTTAGCGAAGCTCAAATCGGCGATCGTAGTGCAATGAAGTGGTTAGTCCAGATACAAACGAATGGCTTGGCAAAACGAAGAAACAGCCGCTGCAGCAGCAATTCAATATGTTCTACAGCCGATAATCTGAGACTATCCACTTCATCCGTCAAACAATTCACCTTAGTTACCAGTTGGAATTTTCGATTTACTTTAAAGGAAACAGGTACTAGGAACGCGTTTGAACAATCCGTCATTGAAAATCTATACTACTGATCTTAAGCTGACCACATTTTTCCAAAACCGCGAATTCAATGTTTTGTGCACAGAGTGAACGGCATCCAGTTTACTAACCTGCTAGCCAACTGTTGATATTTAGATTCGATACGATCCTCCACCGAGCTGGGTGCGGTATTCATATCGATGCCGGAGTACCGGTCCAACATACGTCGATGTGTATCCAGTTTGTCCTGCAGACCACGGAGTGAGCCGCGCATCTCCCTGTAGTATTCCGGTGGAGGCAACTTGTAATCCAACAGATCATCCATGCGACGCTACCAAGACATAGCGTTGTTGTGGTATGCGATGGGCGTGTATGTGTTTTAATGCAGATGTGAAAGACAAGGAAGACGATGCACTCTGGATGAAAGGCATGCTGTATGATGAAGAAGCTGTGATAGAAAGCCCTGCAATACACATACACGTTGTAATGGCACTGTTTCTTCCAAATGCAGCCAAAAAGAAAGTGAATAATTATTGTAGACAAAGCGAAATATACCACAGCCATTAGTCGAACATGCATTGTAAAGTGTTGGATTCAAAGCATATCTGGTCATCAGTTGCCCATGTCAGCGGCCACCTCCACTTGCAATTCGACACACTATGAGTAAGTTTGTGTGGCAAACTGCTGTTTAATAAAGGCGTCCTCAGACTTGTTTTTGACTCATTAACCTCTTTTTCGCATCAACAACCAACGTCATTCTGTACAGTTTTTGGACACAAATATGATTACGCCAACCTACCGTTCCACTACTCTTTGAGCGGGTGGCGGGGTGTCAACGGAGAATTTACATCACTGGGTTTGAAACTCAAGATACGAGCCATGGTCAAAAGAGGTATTTATTTACCTCTTAGGAGCTTAATCACCTCAAAATAGATAAGTTCCAGCTCTGGAACTGCATACGACAAGAACCAAGGAAGTGTGACTCTACTGATCATACAAATTAATCACTCACAGAAGTTCTATGATATGAATTAGTTCTTAAATACAGAACAAGTTGTATTTTTTGTAGTTCACCGAATTAGTGGGTTGGAAGGACATCATTCGGCCGATGCCCTGAAACAACATCGTTTCGAATTTGTTAAGCAATGGGATTATCCCGCCTGTGTAGTCAGAAATGTCTCGCGTACAACTGGACAACAGAATTTCGGTTGTAGTTCCCATTTCAGTACCTGATAACTCCACGACACAGTAAAGCTAAGAGTAGCAGGGTCCGTACCACATAAATAGGTTGGGAACATTTTCTGCAATATCGTTTGATGTCCCATTGGAAAAACGAAAGTGTTGGTCACATGCAAGTTCGTGCGTGCATATATATCTCACACGAGTTTCAGTGGGACTGTGTTCGAGTGAATCGATTAAACGTGCACTGCGATTGTATTCGTGACAATGTCATATCCGATCGTCCGTTGCGTGGAACTCCCCCACAGTGGGTGAAGAGTGCAAACATCATTGTTGATAACCTCAAGGCGACGGAGTAGGTGGTATATTTCCCCAAAACGGTGCTATCGTACTGATATCTTGATAAGCCCCACAATAATTACTGCTGTTAGCCATGGCTGTCCACATCTTACTATCCGACCAACTCATGTAATTGCTTGTCTAGCCAGCTGTCCCGTTACTGCATAATAGCACTGTATACGACAGCACTTGGCACACATCTCTGCTGAAACTGCAGATCAGAAAAAATGGAAGAAAATCTATACAAATTCGAATTGATCCCATCTGAAGGCCAACTATTTTTGTGTTATGATCTTCAACCGTTTGATCTTTTAGATTTCAAAACAAATGTTAGCGAACAAGCTCGTTTCCAGGGATTCCTCATCAGGCTAATACACCACAAATGAATGACATGAACGTAAACATCAGATCAGGGTACAGGTTCAAAACCCAGATGGTCTGAGGGACCAAGCTGGGTGACTGGCCCCACGGCGATTAACCGTGTGTTTGTGTGTGTGTGTGTGTGTGTCGGGTTGTCCACACTATGTGTTCGTGTTAGAGTGGACCAGGGTAGAGTTAGTGCCTGGACAAATTTCTTGTGCGCACATAGGTCAGGGTCATGAAGCCTGATGGCTATTGCCTCGGCCGCTGCCAGTAGACGACATCTAACCGCTCTTGTGTGGCACCTATGGATAAATCTGACTATATCGCTAAGATGAACGCCATCCTCAACGATCATTCAAATTCCGGATGATGGAGAAAGATAAAGACAAAACGGCCTCAATAGAAAAGACGGTCACAAAGCTACTACGCTCTCTGAAACAAGAGAATGAATGCGATTGACTCAGTGGTTTTCGAGTACACGCGTCCCTCCGGGACAGTGATTCCGCGTCATTATGGCTTACCGAAAGTACACAAAGAAGGACTTCCATTGAGGCCAATGTTAGACATATGTGATTCTCCATATCACTCAACAGCGAAATGGCTCGCTAAGCTTCTAGAACCGATCAGAAAAGTCCCATCCAAACACAGCCTCAGAGATACATTCAGCTTCGTAGACTCCATAAGCCATATGCAGTTAACCGGAGGGAAAATGTTTTCTCTAGCTGTAGTGTCGCTCTACACCAATGTTCCACTGGAGGAGACGACAGACTACCTATGCGATGCTGTTCGATTGCACTATGTAGATGTCGGCCTCTCGAACGAGCGATTTAAACAGTTGCTTCTGATGTGTACCAGGAACGTGCAATTCCTGTTCGACAGGAAGATCTACAGACAGAAGGACAGCGTCGCAATGGGCTTTCCATTAGGACCATTGTTAGCAGATGTATCTATGAGTAAGTTAGAGAACAACTATCTAAACGGAGTTATCGACAAATTAGTCTACTACGGACGGTATGTAGACGATAAATTTTGCATCTCAGATAGTCATCTTTGCAAGGAAGAAATAGTGAGGCAATTTAACTCGGCCCACGTGAATCTGAGTGCAATAACTCAAAATCGTATTTAGACGCTCAGATTAGCCGAAGACCTGACGGATCTGTCTAGCGAAGTGTCCATAGAAAGACAACGTGGAACGGGCAATATACTCACTTTGCCAGCTTCGTTCCGCTCATCCAGAAACGGAAACTTTTTCGGTGCTTAAGCGTGCGAGCAAGAAGGATATGTAGCGTGGACATGCGTTCGGAGGAGCTAAACTTTGTACGAAGCCTATTCGATAGAAATGGCTATCCGAAGAGGTTCGTCCGGAGAAACATGGTGGTACGAGAAGCGAAAGCAAAAGTGGATTCGGTAGGAAAGAAACCGATCTACTTATCGTTACAGTTCAAGGAGGACGGCACAGCTGAATCAATGTCTAGAAGGCTTTCTGACGTCATCGCTTAAACGTACCATGTAGCAAGCCTACGGCTAAGCTTCTACTCCGTGCCGACGCTGAATCAACAACTAAAGGACAGAATTCCAAGGTCAAGTAGTTCATCCTGTGTATACTCTTTTGCTCGTGTCGAGCAAGATGAATCGGAAGCACTACCAGGAGACTGTCCGAAAGAGCCAGCTTGGCTGTATGGCGGCGTGACTAGATCAGTGGCAATGGCAGTGTCTACACACCTGATCTACTCGAGCCACTATCAGAAGGCATGAGGCGTTAAAGCCCATATACCGCGTACCCATATGCCACACAAGAGCGGTTAGATGTCGTCTACTGGCAGCGGCCGAGGCAATAGCCATCAGGCTTCATGACCCTGACCTATGTGCGCACAAGAAGTTTGTCAAGGCACTTAATCCCCCCTGGCCCACTCCAACACGAACACATAGTGTGGACAACCCGACACACACACACACACACACACACACACACGGTTGATCGCCGTGGAGCCAATCACCCAGCTTGGTCACTCAGACCATCTGGGTTTTGAACCTGTACCCTGATCTGATGTTTACGTTCATGTCATTCATTTGTAGTGTATTAGCCTGATGAGGAATCCCTGGAAACGAGCTTGTTCGCTAACATTTGTTCTGATGTCTACTCCCGGGATATTTTATCAGTCTTTTTGATTTGGCGGTATAAACGTCGGTGAGCATGAAATCCTCATTGAATATCAAGAACGATTAACCGCCGTTCGTTCAAGTGGGAGCAACACGAGTCCCTGAGGTAAGGCAAGGAATCCAGCATGAAAGCACCGCTGACTGTGCGTTGAGGATCTTGCACCAACTTGTTAATTCGTTAAGCGTATTTGAAACAAGGGGCGGGAGAGCCTATGGTGCTCTGAGGCTGGTGGTGGCTAGATCCTGACAGATGGCCTACCCACTGCTGCTATTGTTGCGCCATAGTCTCATGTCCTGGGCGCCTCCACGTGGCGACCGCTGGGTGGTAGTTGGGTTTCGCCCTTCCCCTGCTAAGATCCAGGACACCAATCCGCATGAGTCAGCTAACTGACCATGTGCTAGACCCGCTGCCTTTCGGGTATTCATTTAATAGAAGGCTTTGGCTGAGGACCCGAGTCGTTCTCCTGTCAGGTGTGGGCGCCCTGGCAGTATCCTAGTCCATCCTCTTCGGAGGTTAGGAAGTGGTCGATGGCCCTCTTCCCGTAAAACCTAGACATGGGAGACAACAGGTTTACGGGTTATCTTCTCAATGCTCGATTGGCGTAGAGCACGAGTGCCACGCATTGTCTCTGACGGTGGGAGGACACCTCCGGGTGTTCAATGGTTTGCTACTGCCCGCCTCAAGCCAGGCAGTCCCTGGTCAAATTGGTGCAAACCCGCCAAAAACCCACCTGCGTCTGGCCGTGGTCGCAGGTGCGTATCCAATTACGGTCGCAAAACATATGATAATTGTTCCAGAACCTCAAAGGCTGCGTGTGACGGCCGTCAAGCAGATCACAATCTGTCTCTGCAATCACATTCCCGAGCTGGATCTGCTCTCCACTGCCTTGTGGGTCAGGCTATTGAGCCAAAGGCTCCGGGTGGAGTCCCTCAAGCAAACCTCCAAACCACCCACTGCCTTGTGGGTCAGGCTATTGAGCCAAAGGCTCCGGGTGGAGTCCCTCAAGCAAACCTCCGAAGCACAACGACCACCTCGCGTGCGATTGCCCACCAATGCAATCGTATGCCTGCGCGCAAAGCACTCAGCATCGGGTGCTGGAACGTGCGCACACTACTGGACCGGAACTCCAGCGAGCGCCCGGAGCGACACACTGCACTGGTCGCAATGCAGCTGGCGCGCTACCACATCGATATTGCGGCGCTCAGTGAAACTCGGCTCGCTGAGCAAGGTAAGTTACATGAAGCAGGTGCTGGCTACACATTCTACTGGGTGGGCAACGCCGCCTCAGC